GAGAGGGAGAGTGAGTGAGAGAGAGAGAGAGAGAGAGAGAGAGAGAGAGAGAGAATATCAGTTATAGAGGTTTTGTTCCATGCGGGTCGAGGTGGAAAATGTGGGTCCTTGTGCAGAAACGCTGCAGTTCAGAATGACCTCATGACTCACAGCAGGTGCTGAGACACTTGCACTTCTGAAGACTTTCTCAGATGGAGCTCACAGTCCGTTTCCATCTGAGCAAGCGTGTGTGTGTGTGTGTGTGGTGTATGTGTGTGGTGTGTGTGTGTGGTAAACGTTTAAAGACATCTGGATCTACTCTTATTGCTAGTCATTTTCCAGAAAGGTCACTTATTAGTAAACACTTTCAGATAATTAGCAGGAAAATTTCCTGTCATGATTATATTGAACGATTACATGAAAGAATGTAAAATTAATATTTAAAATATTTCATCATAAGAATGTATATTTTTTTCACCACATAAATTTATTATAATGAAATTTAGAAAGTTTCCTTGGGTGAATTTGTGCTCTATATCAGAGTTTCCTCTTAAAACTGTAGCCACTTATGGAGCATTTTACTGAATTAGTTCAGACTGCAGTCACAGTAAAAAAACAGTTTAAAAACAATGAAGTATTCAGATCTTCACATTCACAAATTCACAAGTATTATGTTATGGTTTATTTCAGGAATGTCTAATGTTTTCAAAGAGGATCGGATCATATCAGGTTAAAATACCTGAGAACTGAAATATTATTCACAAATGGTTAAAAATACGAAGTTATCAAAATAGCAGAACACAGAACCTGAGCTTTCTGTGAGCGACTGTGTTTCCTATCACTGTATTAAAGAGGCTTTCTTTACTGTTGGACTGCTCATTCACAGCAATTTGGATCAATAAGCACTTACACAAATGATTCTCTGCTGTTATTGTTTGCTATCTGGTGTCGACAAGAGGAGGGTGGGTTTCCCTCCTGAGTCTTGGTTCCTCTTGAGGTTTCTTCCTCTTGCTCTTAGGGAGATTTTCCTTGCCACTGTCGCCACTAGCGAAGCTCATGGGGGGCTCGGATACGGATTTTTCTGTAAAAGCTGCTTTGTGACAACACCTGTTGTAAAACACACTATATAAATAAATTTTGACTTGACTTCATTAAATTGTTTAAGAGTAACCCTGCTTTCACACCGACAGTGACACGACAAATCGGCTGGAGGTCGTTCATTTTCAATAAGAGCTGGTGATTTCCAGCAACAGGAGGCAGCACAAACATTGGTGACGCGAAGTTTTCCACAAAAACTGACTGCACAGACACAAGGATTGAATAAAAATATGCACACAAGTGATTTCTCACCAGGATTTTAATTTTTAGTGGGAATGCATCTAATTTGTGCTTGGTGTCAGTGAAACCATGGCAACTGATGGTGCGTTCAAGTTCAGAAACACCCACAGGTGATGAGCAATCGGCGTTCAGGCCTGTTTTTTTGGCCAAGAAGATCAGAATATCGACTTTTTCTGGCTTGAGGCTTGACCCCTGAATGTAGTGTGCTAGACTGCCAGTACATTGTGACTGTGATGTCACAACACATACAGGTTTGAGTGCCTTTGATTGATCTAAGGCATCTACAGACAGTTCACAAACTCTGTATTATTAGGTTAAATTTCTCAACTTAGGACAGCATTGTTGATAATCTAGACTATAATTAAAAAAAAAAACTGCAACTCTGAAACGATCTGAAAATTGCACTCTCTTAAATTTCAATTTCAATATAAAGCAATTAATTTTTCAGCCCTATCAAAAATATAATTTGAGACAAATTGAAAAATGTTTAAATTTTCTTTTTTGTTGGATCATGTTCTTTACATGTCAAATAAATGCAGCGATGACACTCAGAAATCACTTTATTAAACAAGAGGAGCAGATTAAACAGCATAAATAACCACATTTTTGTACGACCTAAAAGCGTTAACTATTTACTGAATTACTGAATTTGCTCTTCTAGCTGCTTTAGTTTCTCTCCTGAATATTTACTGTGATGTTCTTGCTTCATTTCACGTCTGTTGATATTAAATTCATTACAATCTTTTGAAATATGAGGCACATGCAATTGCTTTGGCTTGAAGGAAGAAGTGTTTAAATTTCCATCTCGCCAAAATCACCAGTTCTCAATGTTACGATTTAGCTTTATAGCTGTGGTCTGGACTAAATGTGGGTCAGTAAAAGTTGCAGGTCTAGTCAAAGAAAAAAGGCTCTTAAACTTTAGCTAACTTCGTTACCATAGTGCAGCGTGTTACACTGTAATTTAGCAGCACTGCTGCCACCATCAGGTAAGAGAAAGAACTGTAGCGGACTGGCTGACAGGCCTCAATTATAACACACTCTAAAACAGAAGCCACGAACCAATTAAAATCTGTCTGCGGGCCACATTTGGCTCTGGGGCCAGAGTTTGGACACCCCTGATCTATTAAAACCCAGGGCAATAACTGAGATAGTCTTAAGCGAAATACACACAAAATCATAATTTATAGGGTACTGTCTGCAGGGAGATGTCTGTCCCAAACCCTGACCCCTAAATTTACACTTGTGAAAATAATACTTATTTTTTTCTCTCTTTCCCAAATACAGAGGAACATGTCAACACAAGATTTAATTATTGCATTTTTTATAATAATGAAAATGTTTACAGGATATTGTGTCCAGAGTTTTTCCTGGTCAAATACAGGCTTACAGAAAACATGATATGTGTAATGAATGAATAATGGAATTTCAAAATATTGTTCCTTATTCACCAAAGTTGCTGACAGCCTTTAATGACATATGAACTACTTTGCATGTAATTCATGAAACTTTTGTATGACTTGGAAACGAGTGGAGATTTGAGGTCAGTCAGCTTCAGTGCGTGAAATCAAGTGCCAGCCTACCAGCACCTCAGATCCCTTAGAAAAACCATTTTGATGGTGCTTTTAATCTTTTCAAAAAGATTGTATGCAGAACCATATACATCACATTCTCCATCAGTCTGAAGAACCAGTTCACCATGTAAAGAACCATGTAAGCATGCAAAAGATCATAGTTCTATATAGCACCAAAAAGAGATACGTTATTGTGATGAAGTTTGTAACAATAGCAAAACCTTTTTCAAAAATGTTCTATATACAGTGGTGCTTAAAGGTTTGTAAACCCTTTAGAATTTTCTATATTTCTGCATAAATTTGATCTAAAACCTCATCAGATTCTAGTAATAGATAAAGAGAACCAAATTAAACAAATGAGACAAAAATATTAGACTTGGTTATTTATTTACTGAGGAAAATGATCTGATATTACATATCTGTGTGTGGCAAAAGTATTTGAACCTTTGCTTTCAGTATCTGGTGACCCTCTTGTGCAGCAATAACTGCAACTAAACGTTTCTGGTAACTGTTGATTAGTCCTGCACTTGGTGCTTGGTAGAATTTCAGCCCTCCATACAAAACAGCTTCAACTCTGTTATGTTGGTGGGTTTCCTCCCATGAACTGCTTGCTTCAGGATCTTCCACAACATTTCTATAGGTTTAAGGTCAGGACTTTGACTTGGCCATTTAAAAAAATAACTTTATTCATCTTTAACCATTCTTTGGTAGAATGACTTGTGTGCTTAGGGTTGTTGTCTTGCAGCATGACCCATGTTCTTTTAAGTTTCAGCTCACAGACAGATGTCCTGACATTTTCCTTTAGAATTTGCTGGTACAATTCAGAGTTCATTGTTCCATCAATGATGGCCAGCCGTCCTGACCCAGATGCAGCAGAACAGGCCCAAACCGTGATACTACCACCACCAGGTTTCACAGATGGGATAAGGTTTTTATGCTGTAATGCATTGTTTTCCTTTCTCCAAACATAACGCTTCTCATTTAAATCAAAAAGATCTGTTTTGGTCTCATGCGTCCACAAAACATTGTTCCAATAGTCTTCTGGTGTCCATGTGATCTTTAGCAAACTGACAATCAGCAATGTTCTTTTTGGAGAGCAGCGGCTTTCTCCTTGCAGACCTGCCATGCACATTATTGTTGTTAAGTGTTCCCCTAATGGTGGACTCATGAATATTAACAGTAGCCACTGTAAGACAGGCCTTTAGTTGCTTATAAGTTACCCTGAGTTCCTTTGTGATCTCGCAGACTATTACACGCCTAGCTCTTTGTGTGATCTTTGTTGGTCGACCACTCCTGTGGAGCGTAACAGTGGTCTTGAGGTGGTGTCCAAACTCTTTAGAGATGATTTTGTAACTTTTTCCAGCCTGATGAGCATCAACAACTCTTCTTCTGAGGTCCTCAGAAATATCCTTTGTTCATACCATGATACACTTCCACAAACATGCATTGGGCTGTGATAGATCATACTTTTGCCACTTACAGATGTATGTAATATTGGATCATTTTCCTCAATAAATAAATGACGAAGTCTAATATTTTTGTCTTATTTGTTTAATTCGGTTCTCTTTATCTACTTGTAGGACTTGTGTGAAAATCTGATGAAGTTTTATACCAAATTTATAAAGAAATATAGAAAATTCTAAAGAGTTCACAAACTTTCAAGCACGACTGTAGAACTATATATAACCATTTCACCATGCAAAGAACCCTTTAAGCATGCATATGGCCCTTTGAGTGTCCATGGCTCTATATAGATCCACTGTCAACCCTTTAAGAGTGTATAGAGTAGAGCTATATTAGAAAATATAATCTTACACTGTTTTAATGGAAATATTATTCAGCTAAGACTGGGCTGAGATAAGTCAGACACTAAAGATTGACAAGTTTTTGACCAAAGTGAGAGAATCTGATGGTCAATCCTGAGAGCCAAATTTCAGAAACAGGAGAAAAAGGGAATTTGCTCATTTTAAACAGGATTTATCATCTCTAGGAGACGTACATGATATTAAAAGATCTCAGTTACAGCATCTCATTCCTCTGGGCCAGCATGAGTTACTTAGCATGGCGCTAATGTGCCCTCGTTAGCCGCTATTCTTTTTTAGCAGCCTTGGTTTAATATTTAGCACCCAGCATTGTTAGTGTCCGTCCTTGCTGATGGAGCCAGAAGTTTCCCAGGGGAGCCGCGAAGGTGGCGGTGGGCCGAAAGAGCGCGGCCCTCATGGGAACGACCGACAGCTCAGCAGTTTCTGCGGCCAGGAGCGGATCAGGTGTCTGAGGAAAAGCATGATTCAGGACCTTTTAATCATGTAACAATCTTGCCAACCAGCAGAGACTGAAGTGCAGAAATGTGGGCAGGCAACACGCACTGCGATAAGACACAGAGATGACCGAGGAAAGCGTAAATATAGAAACAGCAGCAGCGTGTTTGCTGGTTAACGTCGGCCCTGTCATTATTTACTTATTTATTTATTTCATGGAATTTGTTTGGTTTTTTTTTTGTGACGATTTATTTTTATAGACTGCAGGCTGTGTTTTCCATTAAAAATTGAACACTTCTCCTCATTTGAACCCGGCTTGGTATTTAAAAAGAAAAGATGAGAGCTATTATGCTACTCTGGCTATCTGTGGACAGTGATTTATAGTGAGGTCAGAATTACAGAGAGATAGCAAAGGTTTGGTGTCGTTCCAAATTTTAAAAAAAATGCAGAGCAGACTCTCTCTCTCTCTCTCTCTCTCTCTCTCTCTCTCTCTGCCTTTCTCTCTTTCTTTCCTTTTCCTCTTTCTCTTCCTTTCCCTCTGTTTTCCTCACTTCTTTCTTACTTATTTCTTTCCCCTTTTCCCCTTGTTTTTTCTCTTTTCACTCTTCTCTTCCTTTCTCTCTCTTTCTCTTTCTTCATATTTCTCACACCCTCTCTACCTCTCTTTCTCTCTGTCTCTCTCTTCTCTCTCCCTTCTTTGCTTCCGTTCTGTTTTCCTCTCTTCTTCCTTACTTATTTCCTTTTCTCTTCTTTTCTTTTCTCTTTTTCCTTCTGTTCTTCCTCTTCTCTTTCTCTTTCTCTCTTTCTCTCTCCTTCCTTCCTTTTCCTCTTTCTCTTCCTTTCCTTCTGTTTCCCTCATTTCTTTCTTACTTATTTTCCCCCTTTTTCCTTTCTTTCTCTTTCTTTTTCTTTCTTCCTATTTCTCTCTGTCTCTCTTTTTCTCTGTCTCGCTCTCTCCCTTCTTTCTTTTCCTCTTTCTCCCCTTCCCTTCTGTTTTTCTTACTTCTTTTTTACTTATTTCTTTCCACTTCATCCCTTTCTTTTCTCTTTTCACTTTTCTCTTCCTTTCTCTCTTTTTCTTTCTTTCTATTTCTCGCACCCTCCCTACCTCTCTCTCACTCTCTTTCTCTGTCACTCTCTCTTTGCTTCCTGTTTTTCTCTTCTTTCTTACTTCTTTCCTTTTCTCTTCTTTTCTTTTCTCTTTTTCTTCCCCCTCTCTCTCTATCTCTGCTTTTAATACTTTCTCCCTCTGTACTTCTTTCCCTCTGTCTTTGATCACCCATCTTTCTTTCTTTCTTTCTTGCTCCTTCCTTTCAACCTCCTCACTTGTTTTTCTCTACATCTTTCCTTTCCTTACAGTTTTTCTTCTTTCTATTTTGATTCTTTCCCTCTCTTTTTCTTCTCCTCTACCCCCTCAGGCTTTCTTTTTTCTCACTTCTCTTTTTATTTGAATTTCTCTTTTATTCCTTTCCCCATTTCTCTTATCCTGCTTTCTCTCTCTCTTTTCTACACTCATTCTCTCATCCTCCTCTTTTTTCTAACTCTTTTTCTCTCTCTACTTTGCAGTTTCTTTCCTATTCCTCTTTTACTGGTACCCTCTCCCTCTTCTATACTCATTCTCTCTCTCTCTCTCTCTTCTCCTCTCCTTTTAATACTTTCTCCCTCTGTACTTCTTTCTTTTCTCTCTCTCTTTGACCACCTATCTCTCTTTCTCTCTCATTCCTTTCCCTTCAATCTGTATCTCATTTACTCTCCATCTTTCCTTTTCTTCCATTTCTCCTTTCTCTCATGATTCTTTCCTTCTTTCTTTTCCTTATCCTACCCTGCTCTCCCTTCTTCCTCTCTGTCATTTTTCTCTTTTATTCCTCTCCCCATCTCTCTTTTTTCCTTCCTTTCTCTCAGCCTTTTCTAAACTCATTCTACCTCATTCTCTCTTCCTCCTCCATCCTTCCTCCTCCTCTTCTTCTTTCTCCCTCTACTTTGCACAGTTTCTTTCCTATTCTTCTTTTTCTCTTCCTCTCTCCCTCTTTTATACTCATTCTCTCTCTATCCTCCTTTCTGCTCTTCCTTTCCTCCTGTTTTTCTTACTTCTTTCTTACTTGTTTCGTTCCTTCTCTCCTTTCCTTTCTATTTCCCTTCTTCTCTTCCTCTTCCCTTCTCATTCTACCTTTTTCTTTCTCCTTTCTCTCTCTCTCTCTCTCTCTCTCCCTCCATCTTTCATTTTTGTCTGTCTCTCCTTCCCCCCTCACATTTTTGTCTCACTCATTCCTTTCCTTTCCATCTTTTTCTCATTTATTCTCACTCCCATTCTTTCCTTTCCTTCCATTTCTTCTTACTGTCCATGCTTTCCTTTTCTTTCTCTTCCCTCTCCTCCTCCCTTCCTTCTTCCTCTCAGTATTTCTTTTTTCTCACTTCTTCAATTTCTCTTTTACTCTCTTTCTCATTTCCTTTTGTGTCATTTTCTTCTCTTTTTCTCCCTCTGCTTCACACACTCTTTCACTCTGTTCCCCTCTCTTCTTCTTTCCTTTTCCTCTTTCTCTTCCTTTCTTCTCTTCTCTTCTTTTCTGTTTTCCTCACTTCTTTCTTACTGATTTCTTTCCTTCTCTCTCTTTCTTTTTTCTTTTCTCTCATCTATTTCTCATCTATTTCTCATCTCTCTCTCTCTCTCTCTCTCTCTCTCTCTCTCTCTGAGAGTCTGATTGGTTCTAAAGAGGACTGAACCCCCCTCTGGGTTCTCCAAGCGTTCCTCTGTGGATCGGCTTGGCTGAGCGCTCCTGGTCTGTCACTGCTCTCTGGCTGCTGTTGAAAGGGCATGTTTACGGCTGTGTTTCAGCGCTGAACTCTCGCGCTGTTGCGGGGAGGAGAGGAGCCACGAGCCAGAGAGGGGAAATGGGTTCAGCACGCTGTTTCTGACTCCCACTGAGCGCACTTTACGAGGGAGACTGCGCAGAGTGTTCAGCTGACAGAAACAGGAGGTCATGTGAGGTCAAGTTAACTTCACGACTGTAGAAAAAAAAAGTGTGTGTATACGTGTTTGTTTTCATGTACTTGTCAGGAATGACTTTGCACTAAAACTGGTAAAAGAAAACAGTCCTAACTTAGAGAACCAGAAAGAATACTCACAGTCCATTATACAAAAACTCAACGTTTCAGTTTTTTAAAAGTGAAAGAGTAAAAGTGTGTTTTTGTTCTTATAGCCAAGATTAGGGTTAGGATTAGAAAATTAATGAATAATTTAACAAGTCTCATCATCAGCATGCTTGATTTAACAAAATGAAGCTGATCATCCAAGCCAGTGTTTGGATGTGACGTACAAGTAATACAGGGCTTCATCAAGGAGAGGTTTGGAAATAGTTAACCCTTAGAACTCCAGGGTAATTTAGGGTAATTTTTTGGTATTTGGGTCAATTACTATGGCAATTATAAAGTATTTACATGAGACAGTCACACATGCCATATGTTGTTATTTTCAGGAGACATTGGGCTACTCAGATATGCCATTGTTTAACATGTAAATGCTAGCAGAAATGTGATACCTTTATGAATTTGGCTAATTTCTGATCAAAACTTTACTTAGCGCCTGCAAAATGTTGTAATTTTTTGCTTATAGAGATCTTGAAAACATGATGCACCTCAGATACCTGTTCAGAAATTGTCTGGAGTGTCCGTGAGCTGAAAATGCAAGATTTCTAATGGTGATTCATTCTGTTGGTTATTATAAGTAAAAAATAAACAATTACCATAAGTCAGTCATGTTTTTTTATTGATTTTTCTGTCTTCTTGGATTCATGTTGAGGGCTAAAACTCTGATACACAGCAAGACAGGCTTTATTTTCTGTAGTACGTATCATATTTATTGTTATTTATTTGTTAATTATTTATGTGTTATTTGTTATTTATGTGTTTTATGGCCTGTTTGTGTGATTTTGAGGGAAAGTTCTAAGTGCACCCACTGTAGTGGATTGGGACTTTTGTCTCTCAGTGCTGAAAGCATGCACAGACCACATGGATAGCGTTTAGCCTAGTTTTTAAAAGGGTGACTGCATTTTGTGTCAAATTATTATTTGACACAAACTCAGAGTCTTAGGCCAATTATTATGGCTACTTCCATGACACATATTTGACATATTACAGAAACATAATTCATACAATACATTCATACAATTACCTGCTCAAGTTTGACAGAAACAACGTTTCATGCAAAGTCAAGTTGATGATGTCAGAAGGTAAAAAAAAAAATGTGGATTTACAGTGTGTGTTGTTCTAAACTCTGTTTGATGGACCTATTTAGGATCCACCCACAAAGGTGTTCTTTCAAAGCTACTGTTGCTAGGTTAGTTCAATCAAAATTCTGTTCAATTTCAAGGAGACATTTTAGGACATAACTCAGTTTTAAAGTTGTCAGTCAGTCAGTCAGTCTGTCCATCAATCAGTAAGTCAATCAGGGCTGAAAACTCTCCACAGAGGGGCGCCATTAGCACCGACATAACTTTGGATCCTTCATAAGAGCAGTGCTTCACATCAGTGCCACTGCATCCTTGTCTAAAAACTGGTATGTGGATTGTATCCTGATAAGACTTTAGCCATGTGCATGTGTTTACACTTGGTAGTCAAATACATCTCCGGTTATTCCGACTGAAACCCAATTATGCAAATCCACTCGTTCCACAGCAACCAATTATTAATCTGTTCAGCCTCTTCATCTGCAGTTTGTTTTGAAAACCAGTGTCCATATTCTAATTAAGCATTTTGATCCCATTTACATCTACATCTGTTCACTTCATGTGTCTTGAGTATCAGGATTATATCTGGATGAGGCCAAACCACATAAAATGCAAGTGTAAACACATTTAAACCAGATGCAAATCTGATCACTGAAACCACTTCAGGAGGTGGACTGAGACACATTTAAGTACAACCCAAACTCCTCCCAGTACAACCAAAACTCCTCCCCATGAAGTAAGACACTGGGCAAGTATCAGTGTACAATCCAGTGACCAGGTGTAAACAGGGTCTTAGTGTCATCCGGCCCCCAACAATGTGCTTCCTCCATGATTATCTTCCTTGCAGACATGGATCACGTGATTAGTGACATACTGCATGGGGAGGAGTTCTGGTTGTACTGGGAGGAGTTTGGGTTGTACTGGGAGGGGTTTTGTTTGTACAGGGAGGGGTTTCTATGATGGGTTTTGGTTGTACTGGGAGAGGTTTTGGTTGTAGTGGGAGGAGTTTTGGTTGTCGAATGTGTCTTGGAGAGACGGATGTGTTTTTGCTGCTGTAATGGGCTCAAATGCGTCTCAGTTTACCTCCTGAAGTGGTTTCAGTGATCAGATTTGCATCTGTTTTAAACGCGTCTTGGGTACATTTACACTTGCATTTTTATGTGTCGTGGCCTCATTCAGATAATGCTGAAACACAAGACACAGGAAGTGACCAGGTGTAAACGGGATCTCAGTCCACTTTGTTTAGAGTTGCTAAATGATGTTAAGCTTCCAGTTTTAAATGCTACACCACTGAGCTGGACTGTGTTATTGTAGCTAACCCAAACTTGACAGGTTGAAAATGACAATGATGAATTTGCCACCATGCTAAATCATTTGGTATTTTAAATTAATACCATAACCTCAAAGCAGATATTGTGATATAAACTGAGTCTGTTGTACAGTTTCTCATTAGGTTGAAAGAATAACTGGCTCTAAATGTAGGTATTTCGTAGGTGTCATATAAACTAAAATGTGCACTACAAGTTTTAATGGGATTTTTGCCAGCATTTTGTAAAGCTTGTCCAACCTAGCAACTGGAGCTAAAAAAGAACACATTAGTGGGTGGAGCCCGGTACTGTTATTGTCAACATACCAGTACAACAAAAAGGGAAAGCCGTCAATATACAATTACAAATGCAATGATAGGCAAATCATTTAAACCCTATATTTCATTTAAAATGCTTTAAAGACAACATATCAAATGTTGAGACTGAGAAAGTTTATAGTTTCTTGAAAAAATATGCCCTTTTTTAATTTGATACTAACAACACGTTCCAAAAAAGTGACAAAAGGCTGGTAGAGTTTTGTAATGCTAAAAAAAAAAACACCTGGTGATTAATTGGCAACAGGTCAGTAACACGATTGGGTATAAAAAAAGAGCCTCCCAGAGAGGCTGAGTCTTTCAGAAGTAAATATGTGGAGGGGTTCACCACTCTGTGAAAGACTGCACAGGCAATAGTGCAAATAACTTTTGCTTTTCATCATCTACGGTACATAATATCATTAAAAGATTCTGAGAATGTGGAGAAATCTCTGTGTGCAAGGGACAAAACCAAAAACCAGTATTTGCTGGCCATGATCTTTGGGCCTTCAGATGGCACTGCATTAAAAACAGACATGATTCTATAGTGGAAATCACTGCATGGGCTCAGGAACACTTCTGAAAACTATGGTCTATGAAAACAGTTCATCGCTGCATCCCACAAATGCTAAAAGTTAAAACTCTAAAACACAAAGAAGAAACCACATATAAACAGAATCCAAAAACCCAGCCACCTTCTCTGGGCCTGAGCTCATTTAAAATGGACTGAGGTGAAGTGGAAAAGTGTCCTGTGGTCTGATGAATCAACATTTGAATTTCTTTTTGGAAATCATGGACAATGTGACCTTCTGACCACTCAGTTTGTTGTCAGTGCACAGTTCAAAAGCTAGTATTCATGATGATATAGGGCTGCATTAGTGCACATGGCTGGGTGACTTGCACATCTGTGAAGACACCATTAATGCTGAGTGATATATACATGTTTTAACAACATATGCTGCCATCCAGATGACGTCTTTTTCAGGGGAGGCCTTGATTATTTCAGCAAGACAATGTCAAACCACATTCTGCACATATTACAGCAGCATGGCTTCGTAAAAGAGTCTGTGTGCTAAACTGGCCTGCCTGCAGTCCAGACCTGTCACCACTGAAAACATTTGGTGCATTATGAAATGAAAAATATGACAAAGGAGACCCTGAACTGTTAAGCAACTGAACTCTATATCTAACAATAATGGGAAAACATTTCACTTTCAAAACTACAGCAGTGTCTTCTCAGTTCCCAAACGCGTACAGAGTGTTGTTAAAAGCAGAGGTGATGAAAGACAGTGGTAAACATGCCCCCGTCCCAACTTTTTTGGAATGTGTTTGTTGGTTTCAAATTCAAAATGGGCAAATATTTTTCAAAAAACAATACAATTTCTCAGTTTCAACATTTGATATGTTGCCTTTGTAATATTTTCAATGAAATGTAGGTTTTACATGATTTGCACATCATTGAATTTTGCTTTTATTTACATTTTGCACAGCGTACCAACTTTTTTGAATATGGGGTTGTAAAATACAAAGAGCAGAACAAAACACAAAATACTAAAGAGCAGGAGAGCGACCAACTGTTAAAGCTGTTCTCTCTGCCTGTGCTCTATACATCATTTACTCAATAATAATGTATTATTGACACACTTTTGTTGTTTACTTACTTTTGGCAATAATTGTGTTGATGTGAACTGTTTATGAATTTTAAAATTCATAAAATGTTTTATCATTTTTTTATTATACACATTTAATTTAAGCAAATTCAACACCACTTTTTTCAGTTTACTTGTGTCCATGTGCATGATAAAGTGATTAAAGCATATGGTGAGCACAGTACAGTTTCTCTCTCTCTCAAACACATGCACACACACATACACACACACACTCGTCTGCTGTATCTCTGCTTCCTTTTCCAGCTCTGAGGCCGTGAGTGTTTTGCCAGGCAGTCCGCGGAGAGTGAGAGTGTGCCAAGC